CTGTTGTGTGCGTTAAGTGTCAAGCCAGTCGCCACAGTATTGATGGGAACTTCTCTGCTTTGTTGTTTGAGTGGTTGACTATAGCGTGCTGAGGAGGCTGTGGTTGTTTAGAGAATAGGTTGCATGGAAATGAGTCATACACAATGTGATGCAACACAGCGGATAGATTTGAATTATGGGGCAATGAACAATGAGGTCATCACAATGCTGGGGGCCTAAATCTCTCAGCGCCATCGTATAACACAGCATTTCTTATCAATGGAGGAAACTACAGCAAGTAGGATTGTTTAAAGGCTTATTCATTGGTGTAAATAAAGGACTGGTTGGTTCCCTTCATTGACTCAGGTGCTAAGACAATAGAAGGGGAATTCTGCTTTCATTGTTTTTTGAGCACTGTTTACTGTTACAAGTAACATTTACACTTTATTGCACATTTAAATGATTTCATATTGTTAAATAGTTTCAGTTCATCCTTTTCGAGAGGTGCGAGTCTCTTATATCTACAATACTGCATGCAGTGATATTTTCCATATCTTTTCCTTCTTCAGCAGATTGTCCACAATCAGCGTCTGCTGTAATACCATCATCCCCAGGCCCCTCTTAAATTTCCTGCTTACTGAGCTTTTACTTTAACTGCATTACATAGATCTTCCACTCCCTGTTCATCTGGTTCCTTTCAGCATAAACCAGGCTGAAAGATCTGACTTGAAGCACTTTGATGGGACTGGTCATCTGATGGTAAATAAGAAAAAGGGACAAGGAAAGACAAAACCGTCATTTCTTGTGCTTGTTCATTGGGACAGTTGTGATCATGATTGATATCGAATAGCATATTCATTCCAAGTCTTTGGGAGTGTGAATGAAAGGGAGTATTGATCTGGAGCTTAGCTGCTGGTGTAGTATGATAGGCTGAAGAAGGGCAAGGATGACTAGATAGTCATTCTTGATGGAACAAAGATATTAGCAGATGTAGCAATGATCAATGCCTTGCTAATATATGTTTACATTATTTGCGGCATTTTGTCTCAGTCCCAGTGTTATTGAGCGGGTGGAATGTGAATATAGCCTTTTACTCTGTCCAAGGTTGAAGAAGAAAAAGAAAATAATAAGAAGAAAATAATCAAGAACTGAGCTTAAACCTACTAGGTTACTTTCACACATCGTATATGAGCCTAAAATAATCTATCCAGTTCAGTGCTACTCATCTGACATATAACCACCACGCTTTTTTTGCCATGTCTCAGTTTTACATGATACATGGTAGTGTCGCGAAAGACAGATGACTACCACTACGACTTACTGGCCTGGAGCAATAGCTTCCATGCACCGCATGTCTATTTTCTAACCATGTGAGACATTGTACTCTTAGTCTCTTTAAGTGTGCTTACATGCATTTTGAACCCTCTGATTGGTTCTCACTCAGACTGTATGTGTGATAAATGAGATGACATTCAGTACATGGACCTAGAAGAGTGTAAGAGGATATTTAGAGTAAAGGAAGTGTTTGATAAATTATATTTGGTCTTTTAAAACCAATCTTTGCGTGAAAACATATGTCTGGGAATTACTCTAAGCTATGTATAATGGTTAAAATGATATATGTGGTGCATGCAAGTCCTGAAATGTCTGAATGTGTCTGTGCAATCATGCATTGAAATATCTCATTGTCCAGACTTAAGAAAAGTTGATTACAGTTCAGCGGTTCACAGTATCTGGACAAATCAACCAGTTTTATTTATCATGTACACCTACGTTCCTGATTCCCTTTTTTTCTTTCCCTCCCTCTTTCAAAGATTTATGTGGGCCACATAGAGAAGAGTCTTTAATTTTACGCCTGGGTAAACCATATACACTATTGCTCCACATTCCCCGTGCTTATAGAGAGTCTGCTGAAGGACAGGAAGAGAATTGCGGTTTTAAAATGAATATATAGGGGACTCCGCCCTTTAAAGAAAGGCCTTGGATGGCTTGGATTTGCCATAAATCTCCGCCAACAGGCATCAGCACAATTTCCATTGTGTTATGATGCAATTGGTCGCTTAAAGCATAATTACAGAGTGTAATACATGAAAAAAATCATCATGAAAGCATACTGTAGCATCATCCTAATTACATACGGAGAGCTGATGAATAATGGGGATGACACTGGACATCAATACAGCCACTGCCTCTCATAATAGAAAACACAATTGTTTTACTGTGGGAAAATGGGGATCATCTATCATGTAGAATCTACTCTGTTTTTTTTTTTTAGAAAGACATTGAGCCTTGAGACCTTAAAAAGAACCCTCATCCACCCATTGTTCATTCACCCCCTCCCCAGAGTCCTCTTGATCAGTCCCCCTGCTTAGCCTGAAGCTATAGCTACAACTGTTCTCTATCTGAGGCCCCTCTTACATTCATTTGATCAAAGTCCTGCATTTATCACCTTAAGTGTACTCAGGCTGTTTTAAATCTTTTCCCTTTCCCTCTTTTCTTGAAACACTCACCAGCAACTAAAGAGAGAAACTAGAAATTTTTCAACTGCCCTATATTTGTCTAGGTTAGGCCTGTTACTCTGAGGTATAAAGTTAGCATCATTACATTAGCTTAAACATTTGAAGTTAGCTAGCACTTAGCCTTTGGAACATGTTTGACTTTAGGGTGATGCCAGCTTTCTCTCCTTCTCTCTCTCTCTCTCTCTCTCAAAAAAAAAAAGATGAAATAAAAGAGCTATTTCAGGATTGCGTAAGAAAGATGAACTGATTCCTAGTCTGATTCAATTCTTTGGTTGCTTCCCCAATTTTCAATTTACGTGCTTCCCTAAAGTGGAATCATTTCTTCCCTTGGTTTGAAAAGCACAATAGTATTGTTTGTACAGTTCTTTTTGTGAATGAATTAGCTTATCACACCTTGGTCATTTGCTTGAACCCAAAGCACTTCCATACTCAATTCTTGATGGAGCTATCACAACAGCTGCATTAGTCTCAGTCTTCTATGTCGTTTTTCCTCTGCTATCTGCAGTTTTTCTTGTCCTTGTGGCAGCCCTTCTTATTCAGCATACAACGATAGAATACAATGCTTGTAGCCATATGCTGCCACCATTAGTTTTGTAACAATACAGCCTCTGTACTTACGTTGCCTAAGGTAACTGCTACAGAAAGCAACTGTTACATTTTTTGAATTTTGGTATAGTTATCCTACGTGTTGATTCAGGTACCAGCTCTATTATGGGCCCATCAGCAAACACATACTAAACATACCTACTTTCCAAATTAAATAAGGGAACATTACTTCTTATAATGGCACTGGAAATAGGAAGTAAATTACATTTAGTGTGAATGTAATTCCAGTGTTTACAGGGTTAGTGTGATTGCAAGGAAAAAATATACCAAAAATATACTTTATCTAGTTGTAGTTTTTCCTGTGTGTTTCATGGAAACTTAAATTAGACTTTATTTAAGACTTCCTCTGTAGGGATGCAACAAATTGGTGGTGTACCAGTGTTGTGTGCTCTCACTATTGCGCTGGCTATATCTTTGTTTCTTTTTCCTCTTTTGCACTTGCTACTGTTTATGAGTTGTAGTGAAAAAATCCCTTCCCCTGTTTTGCTTACACAAACATGGTCTTTCACCACTTCACATTTACATTCAATCCCATTTCTTTTCGATCCCTCTTCCAACACTCCTTACTTGCTGATTCCACCATTCTTGATCATCTCTGTGTGACTAACCATGTTAAGGGAGATACGAATGAGGGTGCTGGATAGTCGAAGGAGCTTAAAACCAAACGTAATTTCACTAGTTCTCTGTTGTCTGTAGCACTATTCCTGCACTTTAGTCACATGAATACATAGAGACACATGCAACTACATTAACAGAGAACAGTGAATCCATCTTTTGTTGTCTTTGCCCACCCAACCATAGAGACATTGCTCATGGCCTGCTTTACTGGCTGATAGACCCAGTTCCACAGCCCTGCCTGAGCGCTCCACAGAGGTTTCACACGTTGCATGGATGTGTGTTAATGCGGCTGACAAATGTCTTGCATGACAGTGAAAATGCACACAGATAAAGACTGTCTAAAAGAAAATTCAAGTCAAAACAGTATATACACTGTTGCTTTTCGTTTTATCAGCCTCCCCATAAATAAACCATGTGCGATTTCAGACACTGTACACAGAGTAATAACACAAACACACAAATACACACACACACACACACACACACACTGAGGTTGGTTATATTGGTACAAAGTTTATCTCGAAAGAAGTTGGGATTATAGGTGGAAATGAAGGTAGAGAGCAAGAGAAAGAGAGAAAAGGGAAAAAGAAAAAAGGTTTTTCTAATCTTAATAATAATAACAAAAGAGAGAGTGTGCGAGAGAAAGATGTGAAAACAAAAATACAAACAAAGATGCATTGACAAATACAAAAAAGAACAAAAAACAAATTAAAAAAAGATATGTAACACTAACCATGCATAACTGCCTCTCTGAATTCTGGAAACAGAGCTAACAATTTCCCTTTCTGAAAAGTGTCTCTGGCATTTGGCTGTGAAATGCCACCCATATAAACCAGTTATCATGGCATGAGAGAGCTTTTTAGCTGTAAACTGCCAGCGAGTGCATAGACAGACCATTATAGACTCTGATACCCTGACACTTAAGAGGTCATTATGAGACAGAGCACACACGCACACACACGTGTGCACGTGTATGCACATACAAGGACACACGAATGCTAAACAAGCAATCAGAAGTAAAAGTGGCTTGTGAACTGTCTGGTTCTTGTGTAGAGTGGGTTATGGCTATTCACACAATCTGGAGGGGGGGGGGGGTTTTTCACATTGCACCCCACATTCACCACATATTATAGCTATCTGTCTCTATTGTAAAAAATGACAGGGATTTCAGTTCACTGAGCTCGAATAACCCCCACCGTTTTCTCTCTCTCTCTCTCTCTTCCTCTCTCCTCCTTTCTCCCTTTGTGTCCCTCCCTCTTCTCTCCCCCGTGTCTGCAGAACTGGAACATCCGGCTGGCACTGAGATGTGATTCTCACCAGTTTCATTTCACTTTGACAAAGCAAAGTACACCAGTAACAGGTAAGAAAATGGCACGCGTGTCTGTATTTGTGCATCAAGATTGAATGCACACTATTTCACACTGTAACAATTTTTAAACAGTGGTTAACCAGGAATGTTGACTCAGAATTCGTTCTTATTTACAGCAGGCTTTTTTAAGCCACGGGTATAGTCACGCATATGTACACACACCTGGTGCGTTGTTTTTGCCGACTCTACAGTATACATTATGCTTTTTTAAAATCCAAATATGACCCAGTGTTCTCCCCGGAGGTCTCATGGTTCCATCTGTGCCAGGAAGTGCTCTAATTGGCCCAACAAATGCGTCCTCTGAAACTGCTAATCCAATCAGATTTAACTAAGCTTTAAAAAGAATACAGAACAACACGCGATATGCAGTGAATGCAACAGGAATAGAATTAGATATGTAAAGATAGTGGGTTCCGTTAGCCCATTGGGAATAAAAGTGAATTTGAATTAATTGCAGTCAGCCTGGTGTTCATTGAAGGCATCAGCTGGAGTTTGCCACAAATCCAGACCTTCATCTGCCCATGAAGCCACTCAGCATGGGTTATTTACAGTGTATTTACAAGCTGAGCAGGACCTGTAAAATGTCGAATTTACGAGCTTCCTTTTAATTAGAAATACTGTCTCCTAGAGTTGGGCTGATGAATTGCACATTCAGTTTATTGGTAATCGAGGAGGGTGCAGTTCCTGGGTACTGACAGCTTATCAGAGAATCCTGGTTGCCATCAGTTTTTACATTTTCTTTTTTTTTACTCAGGGAAAAAATATATTGCATCCTTGCTGTAAAAAAGCCCTGAGGTCATGTTTACATGTGGGATCCTATTTGTTATTGATCGAATTGATGAGAATGAGGCTAGTCTCTCTCTCAAACTCCTTCTGCTTCCCTTATTTTAGGGTCTCTGTGTCACATTGTTAAGTTTAATCTGTCATTTCACTGAAGTTTCCGACTGCATGGATATGAAATAAAAGACAAGCCATGATAACATTTGTGTAATTAAGAATGTTATTGTGTGCACGCCCGTTTGAGTTTTGATTGTGTAGGCAGCATATGTGAGTGTGACCACCTCAATGCCCTTCCTGTCTGGTCTTTGTGACTCTGCATGCTTGGCTTCCTTGACTCTCACATGGCTCTGAATGCTTGCTTTGAAATCTAATTCTGTGACAGCAAGGCCGCATTTTGTCTTTATTTCACTGAGACAATAAGTAAAAAAGAAAGAACAACAGGAAATGGGATACATCATTCTTCGTATGGGGGATGTGTTTTTTTTTCTCTGCGTCAAACAGGTGTTTCCTGGTCCACACGAACAAACACACAACCTTCAATCACCACATTTCTAATGAGAGTGCAGACTGAAAACATATCCGTGAAGTGTCATTGGTTAAACAGTCATTACATGTATACTGAGTAACACATCAAAGCAGTACACAAACAGAATGCTTGGATAAACAAGCAGATGAATGCGAGATACGGTGCAGTCATGCACAATATAGTCACTCATTACAAAGTTAACAAAAATTAAATATCAAGTGTGAAACTGAATTTAAGAAAAGTGACAGTCTTGACAAGCTTTGCACCTGTAAACCTGACACAGAAAATATATTGTGGAAAGTTTATGATTGAAGAAAAAAACAAATTTGAGAAAAATACAAAGATAATTCAAATTCCAGCTGTAACACCACTTACACAAATCAGTCTCTGTTCTCTGTTTTTCTCTCAATCTCTCTTACACAGATACATATGCACACACACACACACACACACACACACACACACACACGCGCCGCACACACACACACACACACACACACACTGCCTCTCTCTCCTCTCCCTTGCTGCCACCCAGTGAGTGCAGGCTCATTGTCTTATAACGTGACCTTTGCCTTGTGTTGAGAGGCCTTTATTCGAAGACAATAGGGCCCATATTGTAAACCATGCCAGTCAATGCGGTCCACACAGCTGCCATAAAATGGGTGCAAATTATCCAGGGTCCAAGTTGAGGCTTTGAGACAGGCACTTGTGGCACGCGCGCATGTGTGTTGTCTTTGCTTGTGTGTTTTTGTCTGTACCATTTGTGTCTGTTAGATAGAGGCCATGTTTCCAAAATCAGCAGATGGACTTGCGCAATTAGACTCAGCCTTGTTCTGTGTACACATTGCACACAAACAGACACACGAAAACCCACGCATCCAATGCATACTCGGAAAAATATGCACAGGGCTGGGTGTGACACAGATGTCTCTGAAGTTCCAGACCTGGGAGATGAGGATGGAGTTCTTTCTCTCTAATGGGGCTATATAATATATATTATTGAATTTCATCAAGATTAAGTAAGATTAGATAAACACATTTTTGTTTTCTTCGTTGAATTACTAAAAATGCTAAAACAAGCAAAATTAAATCTAATTATTATTTGTAAATGGATCAAATGAGCAAATCATCAAATAATTAGGCATATTTTTTGTTTCGTTTTGCACTTATGAAGTGTTTTCGTCGAATGCAATGAATTACTCAGCATTATTCAGCATATATTTTCATACTGTGAGAAATTACAAATCTGCTTTTCTTTAACAGATAACGTATTGTAAATAATTGATAATGAATCATCATTAGTTGCAGTTCCGTTCATCTATTAACAAAGAATAAAATGTTAAAAAATATGATAAAAGACTGTGTGACCATGTCTACACCATCTCTGCATTTATCCTCACCAGCCACGTATTGACCCGCAGTGACAGATAGGCTCAGAGGAAATGAGCTTGTGACTGAAAGGTCACGGTTTAAAATCTGTATGGGTACAGTAGCTGGAAAAATCCCGGCAGTTTAAATCCCTCAACAACTACCATCAGGGCTGCGACCTATGGGCATTAACCTTTAACTGTTTCGGTGGAGCAGCTCCGACTTCGGTAGTGTGAGACTGTGCGGCTGTGCTGAACGAGCTCCCAGGTGTGACTGAGTTAATGCGTGGATGTGGTCCACCCTTCTTTCCTGCTCAGCCATTGAGGCAAACATGAACGAGTTCTTTCCCAGTCAACGAGCCAGGCTAAATGAAGCGCATGACTTGATAGCTTACAAACGTGCTACATTTTCAGCCATTATTTCAGCTTTGATTGTTTACAGTTTCTTTGCTGATTTGGTGTATTCACACCTGACAGTCTGGAGAAATTCTGTTGGACTTAGTGTTTGCTGTCTGATATTTGCCGCTGTCTGGTGGCTCTGCATCCTGTTTACTGTGCTTAAAGTATCATTCTTTCCTTTATGCACTCTTTCATCCCTCCTAAGATCAAGCGAGTGCACCTGGGGAGCAAACACACACACACCTACAGAATAATCAAATACACATGTGGTTTTGACGTAAATACACAAAGACCCACATGTATACCCCTCACAAGCACAAATACATTGCCACCTGAGTGGATTGGTACAACCCCCAGCAACACAGAAGTACACGCACACACACACACTTGACAACAGGGAATAGCCCACAGAGATGCTCTCAGTCAACAACTTGGAAAAAAAAGGCAGCTATTTAAGGCCACCGTATTCCAGGAAGGATAAGCCGTCTTATTTGTGCGAAGAAACAAAACAAGTTATGGCAGTTACTATCACTGTTTCTTCCCTACTGTGTCTTCTCCTATTTGGGATGTTTTGCTTATGAGTCAGTGCTAATTGTATAAAGTAGACTATATTGAGAATGCAGATTTCCAACGGGCTTGGTATGATGATGAGCAGATGCACTCGCAGATGTTTTCCTTCCATGTGTGTGTTTACCAGTTCAATTATCCCTATCGTATACTGTAGAGATTTGTTGTTCTATTTGGATGCATCAGCATGGATTCCAACAAAAACCACGAGTTATCGTAACTCTGTTCGTGCAAGCAGACTTGTTTGATACCTTTGGGAGCGCGACAATGGTTAAACACACACACAGACATCTAAACCATAAAATATGCTTTATTTCACTCTAATGCGTTTTGAAAGCAACAGCTGGAAAAGACGCATTGGTCAGAGATTAAAATCTTACTGTTCTAGTTAATAGTTTAAAAGCAGACCTGTTGCTGCGTGCCAGTGTTTCACATTTCAAATCTACATATATATCCATTATCATAGAGGATTAAATGCTGTGAATGTGCTGTGTGTATTCAGTTATTGTAAAGAAAGTCGCAGACCTCACAAGGATCCAAATGTAATCCTCACATTCAGTTCATGTTTTAGGAACGTGGATCTGTCCAGAATGACTACAGTTATGAAAGGGAATCGATGCTGAAGACTTCTAGCTACAACCGGAATATAAGATCTGAGCAGCATAAGATTAATTTTTGATCATATATTTCTTACTGGCACAATAAAGCATTGATGAAACAAGTGAGAATAGTTTTGCAGACCCTGGGTTTCTTTTATTTGAACTTTGTAACTCTATAAAAATAACTTATTCTGTCAATTTGTACTTACTAATGTGTAATTTTTTTTAACATAAATGGGCATTACATTGTTATTACACATACTCAAATGTGTCGATTATATTGCAGCGATAACAAATAAAGTATATGTACATGTAGATTTGCATATTGCATGTGTTTCAACAATGCCAACTGAAAATAATAGACATTTATTTCAGACATTGCGAACCACCCACCAGCCTCATTGAATCATTCTATTTTAAATGCATCTGCTTGCTCTGGTTTGTTGATTGGAATATATCAGCACACCAGGGATATGAAACTGCAATAAGATCCAGACCTCTACCCTGCGTGATTTGAATATGAAATGATTAGATTATTGATTTTGGTTATTTGGGTCTCCCGCCCGAGGTGATATTGTGGCAGCGCAATCACCATAGCTGACATTTAGCACTGTGTTTACCTTTGCTGTCCCCATTGATTGCTTCAAAATCACCACCCATACATCCTGCTGGAGCTCATTGTATCATCAGTTTTATGCTATTTTGGAGAAGTGATGGATGCAGCTTATCAAAAATGCAACAGCTGTGGTTTGA